CCATACATCAATGGAAAGCTTATTTATTCAGCTTTAAGATGATTTATAAATCTCAATTTTAAAAAAATTGACCCTTATGACTGGTTTTGTGGTCCAGGTTCACATATTTTGTTATGATTAATTGTATCAATAACAGCCATAATATAAAGTAATTTGAAAAATTCTAATATAAATGTAAGCAATAACACCAATGAAAATATCAGAATAGTTATTATTATAAAGTATTTTGTTTTTATATTAGGAAAAAAATAATTATATTCACTAGTATTTTTATATTTAATAGTTACTACAGTGAGATTTTTCTGCAACAGTTTTAGAAGACTGCTTCTCCATGTGTATGATTACTGCCAGAATACAACCAATATCACAGCTAGAGTACATAAAGCAGATGTGCTTTGTGTGAGTTGTCATGACACATCAAGTCTGTGCAAGAGCAAACTGAGGAAAGTGCACTCACTCTATACCAGATAAACATGGTCTTGAAAGCATTCTCATTGGAGCAGGAACCACAGGCCATGGTTTGTACTCGCGTCATCCCGCTGGGGGCAATCTGATGTTGAAGAAAGTGTCATTTACAGCACTCCACACTACAATAAATAGCAAGCCACTTCCGGCCAATGTGGAAAAGAGTGCATTTATTTATGATATCTGCAAAGCATGTTATCAAGATTACGAGAATCACAATGAGCTGTTTTATAACTGCTGAACACAAGCTGTTCTTCAAGTGAAAGGTTGTAGTTGCCTCATTATTGGGGCAGATCCAGACAATCTGTAATCCTTGTACAAAACGTAGTCCTTACTCTGTACTTGTGAAGCGTTTCAGCAAAATCAGCAATAACTCACAGAGACATATGCTGTAATCAGCTTTCCTGGATGTTTTGAAATATGAACACAGATTGATTTTTCAAGAGATGCTTTACTTGTGATTTTTGCAATTCAACAACACTCACCGATAGCAGGCTCTCGATCAGTTTGTCTGGAAAGTTCTCAGGTGGCAGAATACCAAGCGCCGGCCGGTTGACAAATGCACTCTGTGAAAACCAAGATTCACACAAAAAGGATTCACTAAAGGAAACAGTGACCCTAAGAATTTCATTATTTCATAAAAATGTTTTAAGTGCCCGAGAAAAGTATTTCTTTCCTATATTTATCCATTTTCTTTGAAACAGGAAGTTTAGGTCAAACATGCATGTCCTTCTTTATAAAAGCCAACAGGCTTCAGTAATGTCACAGAGATGAACATGATTGGCTACTTGCTACTTTGCTCGTCAGTTACAGGTGGTATAAGGGGGCGGGACATTCTCATTCTGGTTTTAATTAAAAAAAAAATCTGTGTAGTGAAGGACGAGCAATCAATATTTTTGGTCTGTTTTCCATTTGAAAAAGACTACTAATATTAAGTGTGTATACACTACTATTCAAGAGTTTGGACTTAGTAAGATTTTGTTTTGATTCTTGAAAGAAACTTTTACTTTAGTAAGGTTGGATTAAATTGATCAAAAGTGACTTATAATGTTACAAAATAACTATTTCACATAACTGTTTTTTTTTTAACTGTCCATTAAAAAAGAAATCCTGAAAAAAATGCATCATGGCTTCTACAAAAATAGTAAGCATATTAAACTGTTTTGTACATTGATAATAATATGAAATATTTCTTGAGCAGCAAATCAGCATATTAGAATGATTTCTGAAGGATCTTGTGCCACTGAAGACTGGAGTAATGATGCTGAAAATTCAGCTTTGCCATCATAAGGAATAAATCACATTTAAAATATATTAAAACTGATATTTAAAATCGACATAACTTTTACTTTTACTTTTAGTCATTTAGCAGATGCTTTTATCCAAAGCGACTTACAAATAAGAAAAAGTAATTAAAACTAAAAGCTAAAACTCTATAAATACTATATATATATACACATTTAAGAAAAGAAAATAAATTCAATAAAAATGACAAATGCATACAACATTTCAAAACTAAACATTTAAATGAAAACAAAAAATGGTTATAAAAAACTGAAACCGAAGTGAAACAAGTAGTAGGAATGTAGTCACACTCATGCTGCTCTGTCTGACAGATCACTGCAAATCTAATTTCCTACAATCTATAAATACACACAAACAATGATTATACAATCTGATCAGGACTCACCACATTATTTGGATTGGTCATCACTTTCATTAATGCTGGATGATTGTAACCTAGAAAGGAAGATCGAAAATATCGTCAGTCTATTCATTATACATGTATTGCGATATCTGCAGAGATTCAACATTGTAAACACGCACAATCCAACCAAAACAAACAGCAACTGAATTAACCTTTGTCGAATCGACATTTGTCAATTGGAGCCCGAAGGCAACAAAGCGTATTTGCATGCTAGTGAGTTTAGGTGGATAATTGATATAGTCGCTCTCAGTAAATACTATAATACAAAGCCCCAAAAAGTATTAGGACACTTAATAAAGCCACAGTTATATACTTATAAAAGTCATTGTAATGTATAACAAAATATCAAACCAAATGGAATATAATTCTGCTAGGGGTTTTCTCAGAACTACTTGGTGCATGTATAAAGTCAATTCCCTTCAAAAAAGTGTGCAAAAGTCTTTGTTGAACAGCACATCTACAGTTTTATTAAAAAATGAACCATTTTGTGAAATGTTTTACCCGAGAATTGAGCTTAAATAATGGTTTGATATTTTATTACATAATGACATTCCTTTATTTAAAGTCTGGCTTAAGTGTCCAAAACACTGTGCACAAACTCAATTTATTGAGATGAATCAATCATAATTATTAATAGATTAATAATTAATTGTACTGCATTCTAGTTTGTTTCTCGGATAAAATGCAGTTACGATTGACTGAGCTTGTTATTAACTGTAATAATTTTTACTTAAAACTTCGTTGAATGTAGCAGTTAGAGATGTAATCCAAAAAAAAACAAAAACAAAAAAACAAAACAAGGGGAAACATGCCTGAACTGATCTGTTATGTCTGCAGAACAAGACTGAACAAATACCAAGGTTAAACTGAACAAATGCCAAGGTTCACATCAACATGTGTGTCCTGCCCAAATTTTAAGTGCACATAATGTTTAGTGTTTTTTTTTCTTTCTTTAAATTGAGATTACATAAAACTCTGCATAGCAATCCCAGCTATGACCAGCAGAGAGCTCTTGCACATACTGAACATATAACAGACAAGTTACGGCAAAGCAGAGAAAATTAATTATAGATATCTGGCATAACATTGTTGGACTGTGTTGTTCCCTTCTGTCAAAAAACAGAAAGCTGAACTCAGCTGATGCACTGTCATGATATTCAGAATGTCCGCATGTTAGGAGAACAACAACAATAATAATACTAATATACACAAATACTTTTCAGTTTCTAATTAATCTCTCAAAAAATATCTTTTAGAAATTAGGCTTGTTTAAAGGCAGAATAATTAAGATGACAACCTTTTAAAGCGGCATGCCTACAGCTCACTACGCAGTGAAACAGAACAATAGTTGGACCTCAGTTTGAATGCTGAGTTCATTCTGTTCCAACCGCTGCATTCAACTGGCTCTTCCAGTCCTGAGAGCTCAACAGAAACAAACATGGAAGCGTTTGTGGGAAAACACCAGCTGTTACCTCATGGGTCATTCCTGTTATGCAGTACATTTTCATGTCATCATATTTGTTGGCTAAAAATTTTAATTATATTTCTTTAAGATTAACATATAGTAGTTTCCTTTATTATTATATCACAAATAGAAGTACAGTCGCATCTTTTCTATAAACCAGTCAAAATTTACAACACTCTATGCATGCTGCATAAAAATGTACATTGTTCTGAAAAAAGTTTTTAGATTTTTGTATTCGTTATGGTGTTTATCAAACAATACTAAAGATCCCATCAATTTTACTCTTTATTGTTTTTTTTTAAGAGTTCTGTTCTTTTGCACTTTAATCTGTTTGAAAGATTTGTTTACTTTGTACATATTCTCTGTGCAATGTGTTACTGTATTATTTAGTTTGCAATTTAATACTGTTATAAATACTGTTTTTTGGCAATTATCGCGATAGGAAATTTTTATACTGTTAGATGCCTAATCACAAACAAGCGAAGATAGGGATGAATTTTAAATCATAAACTTTGGTTTAAATGGCTGTTGCCATTTCTGGCCTGGACAAGTTTTCACGGTTTCTTCATTTTTTCCCCTTTCCCCTAATCAACATATTTCAAACAATACATGTTTTCTTAGAAAAAAACTAAATGCATATAATTAATATTTTTTATATGTAAATTTACTACCAAGCTATTACCATAATTATGTTTTGTGGTATTAGTCTATTCCATTAAAAAAAACTAAAGTTATATAAATTTTAAAGGATTCATAATTTATATTAGCAAAACTTAAAAAGGTTACAAAAATATAAAAATTGTGAACTTTATCTCTTTTGTTTTCTTATTTACATCATGTTGAGATCCATCTTTATGATTTTCTTGCCATAGAGTAAACTATCATGTAATAATCTAAAAAAAAGTTTAAATGCCTGAGCACATTTCTGAAAATCTTTTATATCTTTTCATAGAAATACTTCCTTTAATTATACATATACTACATGCATATTAAAGGTTAGTTCACCCAAAAATGAAAATTAGCCCATAAATTACTCACCCTCAAGTCATCCTAGGTGTATATGACTTTCTTCTTTCAGACGAATCCAGTCGGAGTTATATTAAAAATTGTCTTTGATCTTTCAAGCTGTTTAATGCCACTCAGCGGGCCAAGACAGATTTCATCAAAGTTAAGTAAAATATAATAAATGTAATACAATGCTTCTCTCTAGTTATTTTTGTAGATGACTAACAAGAGTGTGTACAATGAATGTCTTTCCTGAGGTAAATGTGACTTTACGTGAGATTTTGTGTTTTACTGGCGTCTTTCTGTGGCTGAAAAAAACATGTTTATAGTTTGTATTTTGTGATAAAATTGACAGAATTTGAAAGTTGATAATTTATTTCTGATTAAAAGTAACAAAGCACAAAACTTATTGCAATTATTGGATGGCAAGCACGATACAAATAATGAATGGAATTAAAGACGTGAAATATTTCCAAGCATTTACTTTTTCTTAATGGATGGGCACTTTTTATTTAACTTCTTTTGGACTGATGCATGCAACACCCGCTGAGTGGCATTAAACAGCTTGAAAGATCAAAGACATATACACCTAGGATGACTTGAGGGTGAGTAATTTATGGGCTAATTTTCATTTTTGGGTGAACTAACCCTTTAATGTCCTATACCTACACAGAGTACAAAATGTACTGCAGAAAAGGAAAAACATTCACATGAAATCTTGACAAGCAAGTACAGACTAGCTTAACACTCCACCCACTGTTTCAGTTATCTGAAAATATTCTTATTTTTGTCAGATGTCAAAAGTGGCAGAGCTATCTGTTTTGCAGACTGACGACTAAATCTGTCCAGTGGCTGATCCAGGATCACAGAGAGCTCTAGATATTAAATTTTAAGTAAAACATTAAGTAATAGCGCAGGTAGATTGCAGTTATGTTGACGTTATGCATGAAGGAAACAAACTCATTTCTCTTGCTGCTTCAGTGGTCAAGAAGAAAATGTTACATCCCTTCTGTATGCATGTGTCTGTCATTGTGAATGCTGCGGGTGACTGGGGGTTGTACACTAATGTAACTAAAATATCCCACAATGCACTTTCGTCGAAATAATACCGAAGCAGCAAGTGTGAGGGAAATCAAAGCTCATTAAATCTGAGTCAGCACCTGAAGGCATCTCTGAGAGCGAGTGACAGTAGCTTCACTCAATTTGTTGAGGCTGATTAAATGCAAGTAAGCTAACGGACCAAACCAATATCATGCAGACAGAGGAAAGGCGCTCTTTCTGTCTCTCAGGTCTGTTTGTTGTATCCGTAATCCGGCAATCCTCACAGGAAGTCCTCAGATCCGGTCACTCACTTTTAATCATCCACAACAAACGTGCCTTCATGCAAAGCCACAGGACACTGCTCACATTTACTGAACATAGTTATACTATACTACATATATAATACTTAAAGGGGTCCTATTATGCTCTTTTACAAAGTCTTGATTTTTAAAATGTGAAAAAGCATAATAGGACCCCTTTAACTAAAAATATTAAAAAACATTTTTATTAACTGAAATAAAGCTGAAAAAAGTTGCCATTTTTCATGTAATAATTTATTTCACTTAGTCGCAAAGGCAACACTTTCAATTTTCATTTAGCTATACAGAAATATAAAAATATTACACAAAAAAGTCTAGTCATACATGTTTGGAACGACATGAGGGTGAATTAACGGGCTTATCTGGGTAAACTATCCCTTCAAGTGGCACAAAATACCCCTGACACTAAATAAAAGCCAGTACTAACTCACAACAACATTAATTTAAAGATGTCTGCTTTCCTGTTTTAGATGTGTCAGTGTGTTGTAAAAGGGATCTGCTTATTGGCTGAGCTCACCGATGGGGATGGAGGAGATTTGTGTGTACACGTCCAGCATTCGGTTGCCGTCCACGTCCACCAGGTAGTTTCCCCTGCTCTCCTCATAGTTGCAGAAGAAATGAATCGCTCCAACATTCTGCAGACCAGGAGACAAGCAGCTCTGTTGCTATCAGTGTTACTATCAAGGTGATTTGTGCTCCATCTGCATACCTGATATTGTTATTACTATTTATTTATGTTTTTGGCAGAGCATCAGCTCCAAGTCAGTGAATGGCTGAAGGGGCTGAACATCAGAAAAACAAAACTTAATCCCACAAAAATGTAAAATATATTCTCTTTAAAGGAATAGTTCACCCAAAAAAGAAAAATTGGGAAAATTTTCTCACCCTCAGGGAATCCAAGATGTAGAAAATTGGAAAATTTACATCAGCATTACATCAGTTGCTGATAAAAACATTATAAAAATCCACAAGTAATTCACATAACTCCAGTTCACCAATTAACTTCTTGAGAAGTGAAAAACTGTGTTTGTGAGAAACAAATCCATCATTAAAGCATTTTAACTTTAAAATGCCGCTTCGGGCCAAAATACCAGTCCAGAATCCATATTAATGTTTCCTTCAGTAAAAAAAAAGCCCATCAACTGTTGTTCTTTCACACCAAAATCCACCAATGTATTTATTTATAACTATTTTAGACTGTAATCAATTATAAACGGTGCTTAAAGGGGTCATATGCGATTTCAAGTTTTCCTTTCTCTTTGGAATGTTACAAGCTCTTGATGTATAAAGAAGATCTGTAAAGTTGCAAAGACTGAAGTCTCAAATCCAAAGAGATATTCTTTATAAAAGTTAAGAGTCAACCACGCCTACCTAAAACGGCTCTTTCTAACACGCCCCCACATATCTACGTCACTATGTGGAAATATTAGCATAATGCACCCAAATGTGCACGCAAAGAAAGAAGCGTGGTTTCAGGAACAGCGGTAGTGTTGATGCAGCATGTCGGGGAGACACTGCATTTCAGTACGAAAGCAAAAGCACTTTATTTGGCCTTCCGGAAGTAGATGCAATTAGGAATCATTGGTTAAGATTTATTTACAACAGAACATAACGACATTATTAAATGTCTTGATATTTACTTTGAAAGCTGAAGCTGCGATTATGGGGCGTTACATTTCCAACTTGTGCTTCTGGTGTTCGGCCAATCACAATGCACTGGGTCAGCTGGCCAATCAGAGCAGACTACGCTTGTCGGAAGGAGGGGCTTTGTTGAAAACGAAGCGTTTGAGAGAGGCGGGGCATAGAGGACCTACAATAATGTACAGTATTTGAAAAATAATGTGTTTTTTGAACATTAAAGCATGCCAACATATTCTGTTACACCAAATACACAAAAGAATGATCTTTAAAAAAGCATCATATGACCCCTTTAAAGTAATTACTTTAGTAAATTACTTTAATTTCTGTAGTATTTCTTAACTGAATAAAAACTTACTTAAAGGTGCAATAGGAGATCTTGGAAAATGCTAACTTTAGCCTGATAGCACTGAAAGCGAACGTCCCACCC